GCACAGTAAGGATGATGGTAAGAAAAGACATAGTTTTGAAAAATAAAAATCTCACATTGGTGAAACAGGCTTGTATATTATAAGAGATAGCACTTAATTTTTATATATATTTTTTTCTTTCAGAGGGACTTTTACTTCCCTGTGAGAAACAGAGGTACTTATTACCCCCATGACCACAACCTTGGCCTTAGTCTTGACCTGGACTTAGGCCTGGGCTCTGGAATAGTCCACAGCTTGGAAAATGAACTGAACCCTGGAAGAAGACTTGGGATTGGACCTGCAGGAGCACATGGCATTGGACACAGCATGGGTGATGGAGATGGTCATGGAATGAACCACCGTGGGAGTGATGGCTATGGAGGAGGTCACAGCAATAGCCATGAACACAGAGGAGGCCATGGAGTAAACCATGGAGTGGGACATAGAGGGAGTCACCCAGGAGGCCATGACAGTACAAGATGGCTGTGGCCATAGACTGGATAATGGAAAATATTGTCGGTGGGGCAGAGAAAGCTTGGGGTAGGAGGGAGTCATGGAGAAAAAATTCTAGATTGAGTTCTAACTTTGCTGTGTTCCCTTGAGTATATTACTTAACCTCTTTGTGCCTCTAGTGTCCTGGTATGTGAAATGGAGATAGTGACACTTTCCCCACAAGGTTGTTGTTAAGGAGATACAATGGACTAGCATGTGTGAAATGCACACACAGGGCCTGGCACAAAATAAGTGCTTAATTAATATTAACTATCATCCTTATAAATTTTAGCTACCACCCCATCTCCAAGAGACAAAAGCACACCATGAATGTATCATTGAGACCATGTGCACATTCATTCCTATTTGTTCTTTCAGTTTTCCCGTCCCCCCCCCCCTTCAGAGCTTAATATTTACCAATTGCTATTCCAGGAGCTTTTGAATATAATATAATTTATCTCCAAATAATTTAGTGAGGAAAATATCTTTATGACCTTGAGGTAGACTAAGATATTTAAGCATAAAACAAAAAGCACTAATTATAAAATAAAAATTTGATGATTAAACTTCATTAGAGTCCGATATCAGAATTACTGTTATAGGCTGATTTGAAAGTTAAATTGGGTTGATGTCATCCTGATCAGATATCTCACCCTATGCAGAATTGGGCCCCCTTTCTGCATGAGCCTACTACATTGAGGCTGACATCTTTACCTCATCCACTTGCATCTGGAGCACAATGTCTTTAAACTATGGAGCTGTTGCTTACTTCCTGAGTAGGTATGGGATGTGCCAATGTGGAGAACTTGGTAACACTATATGAAATGTGTCTTATGATTGTACTTGCCTTTCCCACCCCCCTTATTTGTGTTTTTTTCTGTTTTTAAGTGGCCTCCTCACCCATGTTCAGTATCTCGGTTGCAAAACTGTCTGCTTTGTGCTCCCTTGGCCCTGGCTAGAATAAATCCTTTGTCTTTGTTTCAAAAACAGCCAGAATATTATTTGGGATTTTGGATTAGTGCCTTAAAAATATCCTTTTTTTCTTCTTATAACTTTTATTTCTTCTATTTTACAATAAAGCATGTATTTGTGTATCTATACAATGTGAACCCACATTTCCAAGGGAGGGAGAAAAGAATATGGATTGTTAAAATAGAAACTTTGCACTGAAGATTCGAATCCAAGATTAAAATACTAATACAGATTGACTGACAGCCTGAAAGATGGTCTGATGCCTACTTAACTGTAGGCTACTGTGCTTTAAATGTAGGAAAACCCCTAACCTCACTCACAGAGGAAATAGACAATAGGAGCTACTGTTCACAGCTGAGCCTTGTGCTTAACTGTGTATCTGCTGTTTCCAACAATAATCCTGCCCAGTACATGTTATTGCTATTTTCTAGATGAGACAGAGTTTACATAATTGAATCCAAGTCTGCCGACAAGCCCTTCTCTGGTAACAGTGACCTGAAAGTCAAGTTCTACAGAAAGGTGAGCAAGATGCCATCTTGGTATAAATAACAAATTGCAGTAAACTGACCCAGAAACAGAGAGAAAGGTATCTAAGAATATTTATTGGTAAAGGGCAAGTGTTTAAAGATGAGCCAAGTTCCACTGCTGCCTTCAACAAGTAAATGCTTGACAGTTATAAAAATCCAGAGAGAAACCTATTCTACAGATATAGGTATATTTATCAAACACAAATCTAACCAGGTTTAAATTCTGAAAGTAGACCCTTCAGATAAGTAAGCCTCCTGATACTTTTTCAATTTAAAAAACTTCAACAGCTGGGTGCAGTGGCACACACCTGTAATCCCAGCAACTCGGGAGACTGAGGCAGGAGGATCTCAAGTTCAAAGCCAGCCTCAGAAACTTAGTGAGGCCCTATGCAATTTAGCAAGATCCTGTTTCAAAAAATAAAAAGGGACAGGGATGTGGCTCAATGGTTAAGCACCCCTGGGTTCAATCCCCAGTACCAGAAAAACAAACCAAACACCAAAACAACAACAACAACAAAAAAATTCTTAACAGATGATGAAGTCATGCATCTACTCAGCTCTGGGTGAAGCCTGAGTTCAAAATGGAAAGTGGACACTTGCTCACTCCTCTACCTGCTCCCCTTCTCTAACATAGCTTCTGAGTCTCTCAGCCTTTCCTTGGTGATGAATAGCAAGTAGCCCGTTTCCCCAGATGCTCTTTAATAACAATAACACTGGTGTTTGAACTTGTAACTTTAAACACCTATAATTAGGATTTGGGAGCTTCTGGAACCATAACCTTGACCTAGCCTTCCATAACAGTCATTTTACTTTCTATTACACAACATGACACAGCAATAAAAGCAACAAACCACTTCAGCTCTTTTACTTCTGCAGAATCTAAAGCCACTTCTCCAATATATAAAGGAACAGGAAAGTTAATTTCCTGGGAGAGAAATACACAGCTTGGTCCTGGCATTTTAGTACCCAAGAGAGCTGAGATAAGTCCATTGATCAAAACTCCATGTAAAATTGTCCTTCCAAACTTGATGTGTTTAGCAAAATCTTCATTTAAATGCAAAGGACTGACATCTCCCATTAATTCTGAGAAGGCAGCCGCGTCCCCTCTGTGTGAAGGCCCTGCTGAGTTCAGCCCGGTCCCCAACTCTCATGTGCACATGCTGCAGGAGCTATCTGCTCCACAGTGGTTGACTCAGGCAGAATCGCCTTTGAAGTCCACCCCACCAAAGGCAATAGTTGGATATTACTGGGAACATCTTCAGCATCCTCATATTTCATCCATGGGAGCTTCTAGCCTGCTTCTGTTTTCAAACTATGCAGCCACCGAAAAGTACTTTTGAGAACAGAGGGAAGTTTTTGAAATTGAAGACAATTCAATCCAATACTAGTTCCCTACTATTACCAGATAATGCGAGGAGAAATGGAGAAACCTGAATCACTCTGAAAGCACAGGTTTTGCCCTTGTAAGATCCTAACAGGGCTAAAGAACTCCACAATTTGACTAGACCACTGCTACATATTTTCAGGATGGCTGACAAGGTCTTCTCTTCACAGGTCAGGACATCCAGAGGTAAGGCAGCACCAACCTCCCCATACAGGTCCTTTAGGGTAGAAATAAGCAGCTGTTTGAACTGTGCACATTCAGAACAACTCCATGATCTTGAAATTTCAGGCAGACTTTCATGTAGTGATACTCAGAGGGATTTTTGTAAACTATTCTTTCATATGTGGTAGCTAGTGCTGGCATCTTTTTCAGTGCTGATCACATCCACTGTCCATTGGACTATCTTTCCGCCTCCTCTGACTCCAGTCGGCTGCAAGGATTTGCCAAGGTTTGGTGATCCCATGCAGAAGCCAGGACCTAGGACTGGAAACTCCTGGTGTGTTTACGTTTGGTTGCTCCCTAACCCCAGATGAGAGGTGGGTCCTTAATAATATCTTTGAGAAAACAAAACAAAACAAAACAAAAAGTCAAAGGCAGGAGAAGATACTGCAATACATCCATATGACAAAGAAATTATATTCTGAATATAGGAGGACTATAGATAATAAGAAAAGACTATGCAATTTAAAAATGGGTACAAGATTTGACAGAAGGATATCAAAATGGTCAGTGAACATCTGAAAAGGGACTCAATATCATTGCTTATCAGAGAAATGGAAATTCAAACCCTAAGGAAATATCACTACACACCCAGGACAATGCCTAGAATTTTAATGATTGACAATAGCAAGTACTGACGAGGATGGTGAACAACTACAACTCTTATGCATTGTTACTGGGAGAGTAAATTGATTTGCTCAATGTTTGGCAACACTAAAATTAAACACACATATACTCTGTGACTCTGCAATTCCATTCTGAGTGCATATATACCTTATATAGCAGAAATAGTAGAAATGAATACCTACATCCACCAAAAGACATGTATGATAGCAGCTTTATTTATAAGAGCATCATGTTGGAAATTTCCCAAAGTCTTAAACTTAGAATAAGTAAGTAAATTATGACACAGCCCTAAAAATGGCATACTACCTAATAGTGAAAAAATAATGAACTATTGAATCATGCAAAAACATTAACAAATTTCACAGATATAATGTTGAATAAACAAAGTCAAAGCAGCAGAGCACATATTGTACAATTCCATTCACATGCAGTTTAAGAACATGTAAGTTAATCTACTGTGATAAAGGACAGAAGAGTAGCTGTCTTTGGGGAAAACACTGACTGGGAGAAAGCACAAGGGAGGATAAGAGTGTTCTATACTTTATCTGGGCAATGATTACATGGATATATACATGTGTAAAACTTCACTGAAATGTGCACGTGAGATTTGTGGATTATGTTGTGTGGAAGTTCTACTTGTTTTAAAAATGAAAAGGGAAATCTCTGTGACCTTTTTTCCCCCCCGTCATTATAATTTCCTTGGTCAGAAGATGTGGTCAGGGATACACGCTGATAAATGAAGCATTAAATACTTCCAGCGACAGCAGTGCCAGTGGAAGCTTTGTGGACAGGGAAGGCACATACCTATTTTAATGAGGACAAATCACTACTCCCTTCAGGTTGGAAGAGATTCAATGTCGTCAACCTGACACCTCTCTGGAATGGTGCCATACAGCAGGGTCAACACAGATTTCTGCTGTTAGCTAGCTAGGCACTTGGCGGTGGAAGTTTGTTTTTGGACCACCTTATTGAGTCCTATATAACCTCAGTCCCTGCCATGGAGCCTGCTTTATTTATTTTTTCTAGATGAACACATTTTACTCATTATTATATATTTTGCTTCTACTGTGTGCCAGGGAAGGCAAAGAAAAAGTAAAAGCTGAAAATAAACACTAGGAATTCTGTAAGGGTCAAACTTTTGTAGGTCAAATTCTACAAAGGTCACAACCTGGAAGATCATTTGCCTGGCACAGTGCATTTTTTTTCTTTTTCATTGTTTTATTTATTTTTTATGTAAATTTTTTATTTATATATGATGGCAGAATGCATTACAA